CTCCACAGCGTATCAAATAACTTGTCGTGACACAACACGTTATTGTGTGCGATTGATGTGAAAAATATCATTGCTCTATGCACAAAAATGTCCAAGCTAAAAAATTATAATTCGCCACAACAAAAGGAGTCTTTTAAGAGCTCCTTCAAGAAGACAGTTCCCCTTAAAAATACATCACATTAGAAATAAACATGTTGTCAACATTTCACTCGCATAATGGCCGTATTGTATCAAACCAGTACCGCACACAGCATCTAGAATTTAACAGGTTCACAAACGGTATCATTAGGCCCAAAAAAAAGTCTCCGGTTTCTGGTATGCGTGCGCGTCGCCGTAGCCATGCGCGTCGACAAAATGAAAAAGTTTTTTTTTCAATGAAAGATGATGTCTCAAAACCGCCAAACTCACTGGTTTGACTGGAATCCTGCTGCTGCACAATTTTAACGTGTTTTTAGATTGGGTTATGGTCGAGAATAAGCCTTATGTGGCCTCTCTGGACTCCCATATATTTGCACTAAGTTTAGTCGGGCACCATTTGCAGTCATCAGCCGACATTTGAAGCAAAAAAATCAGGTAAAAAAAAAAAGCTGCGTCGCCGCACCACTTTTGGGGCAAGCTCCATACCAAAAACCGGAGACTTTTTTTTTTTGGCGTTCCATTTGTTTTTTTTATTATTATTAAAAGTAAAGTGAGTTGGTTCTGAAATGTATCATGCATGCGTGTTTCATGGTCGGCAACTTGTGATTCTTTGAATTCTGCATTATCATTGATGTGTTTTTTGTTTTCCATTTGTGTATGGTCCATGATATCATGTCCACGGAATTCATTGTTTTGAAGAGTTCAAAGTTTACAGTCAATTTAGATTAAAAAACACACCCATTTCCACTTAAAACTTCTTATTTTTGGATCTTTATTTTCTTTTATTAAAAGCCTAAAAAAATGTGTGTTTATGGTAACTCAATCCAACTGGCTTTTTTTAGGCTAAGTTGCCAACCTTAAACTTTTCATTGCCACATTTGGCAAACAACTTTAAAATACAGTATGTTTTGAAAATATAAAAAGTCTTCCCTAGATCCATTCTTGTGTGTGTTTTATTGGTTGATTATGCAGTTAAACAAGTTAATTCAACAGAATGCTAATTAATAAAGGAAGCATAAAAGACTAACAGAGAAACATAAAAAAAAATTATATTTTCCTTCCTACCTACCTGAATAAATTCTAGGGCATTTTACCGTAAACATCCAACTTTTTTGGCCTAATCTTTAAACTCAATATTGCACATGCTAATGTTCTGCTAAGTATTATTTAAACATTCTAGATTTAAGGCGATATATCTAATTCTAATAACTTCATAACATGCACCCTTTCATGTAGAAGCATAACATTCTAAAACACACATTGTTTGGACATTTTTCAATTGCCACAGCATACTCATCCTAGGGAAACATTATTGTTTTTAAGGCTCCATGATATGTTTATATGTGGATGGCTTTTTGGGGGATATAAGAATATATTGCACGAGCTGTAACAATATTTTTCGATATCGTTTCGGTTTGCGGTAACACCATGTGGTAATAACTACTGCTTAGAAGATATTAGTTCTGAAAAGAACTTGTCCTGCTTATTATCAACTTTCCTAAGTAGTTTTTTGTTCTGTTAAGAACAGTCCTGCTGTAAGTTCTAAACGAACTTGTCTTTGGTCTCAACGTTTCGACTAGCCTGCTCTAGTCATCGTCAGTAGGTTAAATTTTTCGACTCGTGCAATATTGTTATAGCAAGTGCAACATATTCTTGTATCCCCCGAAAAAAAAGCCATCCAATGTTGTTATTATTTTTACATCAGGCTGACTTGATCCGCAAGAAATAAATTTCAGGGCACTAAAATGATAAGGCATTCTTTCCATATGTATTTTATCTTCCAGGACGGCCAACAATCATCTGATGAAGAAGACAAGCCAGACAGTGTTGCAGCAAAACAAAAAGAAGAACAGAAACATGCAGTCCTGGTGAGTAAACTTCTTTTTGTATTGCTTTACGCTCATGATGGCCCCCAGTAATGGCAGACACATATATGTATTCGCTCCATGGCGGTTTTACTTCCGCCATTACTGGCCATTTTTGTAATGCAAATGTTCAATAAAAGTATGAAACTGAATGTAACGGTTGGCATTGCTTTTTCATTAGAGGCTAATATGGAAACCAATTTTTTTTTATTAAAACATATAAAAGAATAAAAACCAGTAAATTACAGGGCTGAAATTTGTCAGAAATATTCCTGATTTCAGGATTTTGTTTCAGGATTTTTGTTTTTTACAAGATTTCAGGATTTCTCAAAAAATCCCTCTTGAAATATGGAATTCCAACAGGTTTTACAATAAAAAGGTGCTTTTACCAATACAAGTTTTATAGAACCAAAAAAAAAAAAGTTTTAAAAAGGGGTTCATGAATTTAGTCAAATTGTAGACCCTATTTTGCTCTGGGCCCTTAGACTATTTCGTGGATTTTTGCATTTTCACTAATCTCACCAGCGACTTTTGAATCTATTTGAAACCTTAGAGGAATCTTGTCCCTTAAAATAAACACAGATAACTTCACTTTCAGGGTTGGCTCATCATAGAGCAAATTCAATCATTAATTTCTGTCTTTTTTTGACAATTTTCAGGAGAGGAAGAAATCCTTCAAGGACCAACAGGAGCGCATGAGCAGCTCTGGGAAGAGTTTCCTGGACAGCATCCGGGCCGAGTATTCGGATGACGAAGCGCAGCAATAGGGCTGATTAAACCAGCTCCCCCCCAAAAAAATCCAGATTTTATTCGAACTTCCAAGAGGCTGAAAAAAGGGTATTAAGTAAATTTAATCGCTTAAGCCTATTTTGTTTTAAATAAATAAATGTTTAATTTACTTTTCATCAATCAGGTTCATTGTTATTGACTGTAAATGTTCTCAGTTTATTTGTTTCTATGTATCTTTACTTCCTTGGTTCATATTGTACAGATAAGGCCTTTTTTATCATAGTTTCGAAAATCTACAAATTTTCATTGTAGAATTCAGCAGTTTTGTATGAAATAGGTAAAACAAAACTGCTTTTCTGTCTGAAATACTTTTCTCTGTCAAAAGACATTCCACAAAATCTGGTTTTAAGTAAATGTCATCTTTTCTTTTTTTTCTAAAGGCTCAAATTTGGTTTATTTTAGAATAAATATAATTTTAATACTTGAGATAGCAAGAAAAGTGAAACGATTTCTATGCATTGCACAAAATCATAGTGTGATCTTAGCTTAAAGGACTGAAAACATCATGGGAATTGTTTTTTTATTGTAGTTGAATATCGGAAGTTGAAGTAGAATATTTTGGATATAATAAAGGATGTTAATTCCAGAAGTAAGGTGATTTTTATTTTAAGATTTTAAAATACGCCATCATACAAGATATGAACTGCATCTTTGCAAGATTTTACTCAAGATAAAGTCAACTTGATCATGCTATAGGACCTAGCTGTGTTAATTTAGTGGTACTTTTTTAGAATTGCAACTTGTTTAGACATTAAATTTTTAGTGATATTCTGTGTAATGAGAATAGCTGCATTCAAATCCATTATGTCTTTTAATCACAACTGTTTCATGTATGAGTTTGATTGAAACATGCAACAGCTACATATAGTTTATGTATATTTGTGGATAGATATTCATTTTTGACTCCGTCCAAATTTAGGCACGTGTAGTTGGTATTTAAAGTATGGTTAGCACAAATTTGTTGTGAAACGCAGTATTTTCCCATTTTGTAATTTTGAAAGTATCAGTTATTTCAAATTAAAAAAAAAATCCTATGCATTGATTTAGTTGTTCAGCTAATTAAGGTTGTACATGTATATATTTGTGTGTGTTCAGAAAAGAAAGCATTTGATTTAACTCAGTCCTCCAAACTTTGATGTATATTTCTTGAATGTAACATACTCCATAGTCTTTCGCTGTGTGTGAATTTTCTAATAAAGAAAAAATATTGATGCTAAAACCCTGTTTACATTCGACTGAAGCTTAATTTTCTGTGTACAATGTATGTGGTTTACATAGGAAATTATTTGTTGCATAGTTCACGTAGCTGGGGGTATCATATCAATTGCCCCCCCCCCCCCCCAACACTTTTTCTGTCCCCAAATAAGAATTGGCCTGTATTTGGTGGATTCATTTACCGTTACTGCAGAGCATAAAAAAAATAATTGACTACATTTTTGTAAGCATTTCCTTTTAGCTCGTGCCGAAAACTTACCTATCCACTTTTGACAAAGCATGGAAGAATTATAGAAGACGAAAGAGATATTCCAACAATATTTAAACTACGTCCTACATGCCCAATTTCTTCTCTCCAAAAGAAGGGATGGGAAGGAAAATACATGGTTCCCAATCTATATTATGAAACTTTGAAGAGAGAAAGATTATTACCTTTGCCAGGAGGTTATGTTTTCATTGGATTTGGTGGTTGGTTGGTTGGTTGTCTGTTAACACAAAAACTCAAAAAGTACTATGAACGGATTTGCATGAATTTTTTTGGAGGGGTGGTCTAAATTTGCTACAAGTGTACAAATTGATTTGATTTCAGAAGTGATCCGGATATGGGTCTGGATCCAGGATTTTGTTTAAGGATTCTTCACCATTTATGCGAGTATTTCTTTTGGGTGTACTGACAATATGCCGGGAATTGGTTAGCCTTGGCGGAGGTTTGCACGGCTTTCTAGTTTGAAAACAAATTAAATTTGGAAAGCTCTCTCGTTTTTTAAGTATATATCAACAAGTTAAACTTTACTTTGATCAGAAAGTTATTTCCAAACAAGCAAGAAAATTTTTAGACTGTGAAATTACGAGTAGAGTGTTAAGCAATTTATAAGCAACCCCACCCCCTTTCTGTCCACCCACGCACGCCCCCTTTTGACACTAAGTGCACGTTGAAAAAGAAAAATCTATACAAACAACAATGGATGCCTACGTAAATGCCCGTACGTGTTTCATAGGAGACCGTGTGTACGTGTGTGGTGAATGCGTACGCACCACTACGCGTTAAATTTGTTGCACATTGAATGACGATTCCGAATGGCGATAACATCCCGTCAGAACAGGCTTCGTCGTCCAACCCTCTTTATCCGTGTTTACCGACTGATTTTGCGGGCTAAAGGTGATGGACATAAGGTCTATGTTCGGGGGCCGTTCGACCGAAGGCTACACGGGTGGCCATGTGCACGGTAAGTCCCGAAAAAAATAGAGAGGAAAAAGAAAAACCGGTCCCGAAAAGAGAGGAGGGACTTACATTAAAAATGTCGCCTCCTCCAGCTGTCGTCATGGTCGTCGACTACGACTCCACGAGATTGACGCATGCGAAGATGCAAACAATGACTTGCTGTTGTTTTCTCCTATTGCATTTGCATTGTTTTGCTGTCAGGCTGTATCTAGAGTGACAATGCGTCTGGGAAAGAATGTTGCAACCTGACGCCACTTTTTTCTTCAGATTATCAATCATCTCAATGAACTTGAAGGTCAGTTATCATGGTCATTGCGAAAAAGATGATACGACATGAGTATGGGACTGAGAAACATTTTCAATTTGTTAGGAAACACTTAGAGAGGGTGCATGCTCTCTCGCTCAGTTTCCTACTTAAGCTTGTTCAGGCATTGCTATTTTCTATGGAGTGGCGTATCTATAAAGTATAATCTACAAAAATAATTGTAGGTTTAAAAAAGTTAAAGAACTTTAATTAAAAATAAACGGACTAAATTTGTTTTGAGTATCCCCAATCTATGGCCTGGACTAAACTATGGGGCTCTTGTTAGTATATCGACTAGAGCCCCATAGTTCTAGGGGTAGACTAAACTCTGTTGTTACTGATTTTTTTTTTTTTTTTTTTTGCTTTTTTTCCATCGCAATTGTTCAGCTAGCATGGCTAGTCTGAGTATCACCCGTTGTCCACAGATCCTTATCTTCCATCCAACATCTGATCTAAGAATGCAAATTTATGCGACCCTGCAAGTCGGAGTCGACTTTGCTAAATCGTGACGTCATTTCATTCCCAGATTTGGTCGAAGATTGTGATTGGTCGATTCGGGTCAGTGTTTTTAAAATACAACAAAGGCCGGGCGTGCATGATACTGATAGATCTACAATACCTAGAGTACTAGATGACCATGATTGGCCAGTTCTAATATAGCTTGGCGTATCACGTTACATGTCGTTACAGAGTGTGTGACCACAGACTTTTTTGCTCAATTCACAGCATAAAAAGAATAATAGATGCCATGTCTAGGTTTTATTTATAGATATCCATGACTGAATGGTCAGAATGTCAAGGTCAAGACACAGTTTTTTTTGCATAATTATTTGCCAAATCAGGTCACATAATATATACCTAATGTGACCTGATACTCCGCATATGATCGAATATTACTCAAGCAGTCACTTTTTTCACAAAAACTACAGAAATTACAAATTTGCCTCTTTTGAATTTTGTAATTTTCATCCCGAATTGTACCGTAGAATTGAAATTTTAAGAGGACGTAAATTTCCTCAAAAAGAGAAATGGGGGAGTTGTATTTTTGTGTGAAAGAAACAAAGGTTGCTTGGGTATTAATTAAAGTTAACCAGTTTGCAAAACAGCAGGCCGAATGATTCTGATAAAGAAACATGTGTCCGTGTCTGATTTTAATTTGTCTATAAAATTTTTATAAAATGTAAGTTCAAGAGTGAAGCTTAGCGGATATATTGTACTCTCCCTCCATGGAGAAATAAATTCAAATTAAAACAATCAAAATAAATGCTACGCTGAAATTTCCATCAAAATAATTGCTTGAGTTTGATGGATAAAAGGCCATGCACTTAGGTGAATTCAAACATCTGTTACTAGTATAAAGGTTTATAGCCTACTATCAATTTCCCAATGTGGCATTTTTAATACCGCAATCTTTTCAGTTTACCTTTGTAATATGGCATTGTGCTTCATATTATCGCAAATTCTGTGTATTTGCTGACCCATCCTAGTATAATGAGACTGATTCTGCCTTGCCCACTGGGCCAACCACTCATCACCCAGCAACCACTGGGGATTATGGATTCATTGACCCCTCAGGCAACCATTAACCCTATTAACCGTGGTCCTGAATTCTTCACAGGACACAAGCCCCCAATGTACAATCGCAATTTATACAGACATGTTGTGTACATGTAGTAAACATTAAATGTACAAAAAATGTACATATGCCGGTACTGTTGTACATGAACATGTAGGAGGAGTATAACATGTCATGCACACATGTACAATGCTATTATAGTAAAGGTACATCTTACTATAATTCAAGGAATCTCTGTCTGTCTGTCTGTCCGTCAATTATCTCCAGAACCGGGCACCGTATGCGGTTGAAAATCGGTGGGTATATTTTTCGGGACAACAGAATGTGCAGTGCAAAGTTTGAAGTGGTTTGGACCAGCGGTTCTCGAAAAAGCTGCAAAAAGCAGTATTTTCTGAGGCAATCGGGGCAGTATATAGCTTAGAACATAACATTCGCACGTACACACTGCCGTTCTTTTCAATTGTTTACATCATGTTTAAGCTAAAGCGCGCGTGCTCAATATGACGCAAACAATGCAAAAAGGACGGGCACGCGCACGTGCATTGCAGGGCGATACATTGTCCAGTACGGGTGAATACTAATGGCAATGGGTGAATAGCACTGCATACCGTGTTTTCGTATGTACACGGGCACATTATTTTTGCGGTCGACTGAGCGACCATTGTAAGTGGTCGAAACTTGGCAAAAACTTTGACGCAAAAGTGAATGAGAAAATATTCAAACAATTCAACACCATTGAATCGCGTGCGTTGTTTGCACGAGCAGTTCTCCAAAACTCTGCAAGTATGCAACCTATACCAGCGGCAAAGCAATTTGCGTTTCCCGAACATGCACATTTTAGACGGGCACTGCACTAGTACATTAAAATCCCCATGTTCATGATGTTTTGCACTTGTTTTTGCAGTACTTTTGAGTAAAACAATATCAATAATCATGTACACGTGTGCTTGAAGATTCTAGCACAAAACCCAGTCTCAAACTTGGATTTAAGATCGTTTTGAATTGTTTTTGCAGTATTTTTGAGTAAACAATATCGATAATCGTGTACATGTGTGCTTGAAGATTCTAGCACAAAACCCAGTCTCAAACTTGGATTTAAGATCGTTTTGAATTGTTTAAGTGAAAGAAAACTCCATAAATAATATGGCTAGCTACCGGTATACTGATAGTTCTAACTTTTGAAGAAAAAAACCAAGGTTTTTGGTCACGCAACCACAATGAATTGAATACAGCTAAAGGAGTAACAAACAGGTTCATTTTGTGAGAAAGAATAGCTGCACGGATTGTGGGCAAAGACCTGTTTTGTAGAGAACAGGATAAGGGGCAAGAGTACCTTCAAATCAGAAATAATAGTTCCTTTGAGTAAAGTGTATTTCATTGACCAAACCAAAGAATAATCCCCAGGTTAGAGACTAGGAATGCATTGAGCAGATTCAGCAGATTGAAACGTGTTTCATTCATAAGAGTATAAAAGGGTAGTTTTATAACTTAGCGCTATTCCAGGGCATTAGATGCACGTTAAAGAACCCAGTAACACTTGTCGCTAAGAGAAGGGGTTCGCCCCGGTGTTTCTGGCAGTGGCTGCAGCACCTTGTAAACCCTGGCGCCACACCTCCAGTTTAAATTCCCCAGATGGAATATTTCGGAGGACCACCAACCAAGTACACATACCAAGTACATGTAGCTCTCTGTGGTTTATACAGAGTTAAAGGGTCCATGAAATGATTTTTTCCTTAGGAATGCATTTTGTGCAACTTTGTACTCCTCTTAAAATGCATGAAAACTATTTCACATTCCTTTTCAGTTAATTTTATTGAAAAGTGCACTTCTTTAAACATTGCTTTTCCGGACAACTGCGGGTGCTGTTGCCGTGATGTCATTTCAGGAAGACACTGTTCAGCTTGGGGGTTTCTGTTCAAATTGTGAACCCTAAACTTTGCTCACTGAAAACATTTGTGAGAAAACGTTGCTCATTGGCCTACTGGACATGTGCTGAAATGACAGCAAATAACCAAAGAAAAGATAATTTACGACAACAAAATATCAAAAATTGTGGGTACTGAATTAGCTGTAACATTGAGGTTTCTGCCTGACATAACAATACAGTTTGCTGAACGAATATGAAAATGTTCATTAGAATATAAACCCCAAAGGCACCAAAATGCCCTTTAAAAAATGGTAAAATAAAAATTGAAAATAAGGAAAATCTGTGGCAGATTTTGGAGGATGCAGTGTGTCAAGGGCGTGCATAAATTTAGGCCTACATGTACTTTTCATGTACATGTAGTGTATACTTGAATCCTCCGCACTGCTCCAGGGTGTCGCTGGCTCTGCCTCAACATATTGACAGTGATTGCTGGAGGATTTTGCAGGATTGAGGCAGTGGTCACCCCTCCAAGGACCACATTCGAGGAAAAAACGGATGATTTTGCAGGATTGAGGCTGTATGCAATTTTTACATGGAGGCAGTTTGAGGATTTTACAGAGCTGAGGTTGCATCCTACCAAAAATGCATATAGGGAGTTAGGGTAAATGGTATTCTGCTAAATAATGATCCTGTTTAATTGATTAATTTATTAAGCAATAACACCCACAAAAAATACTTGCATCAAAGGGAAGACTCTTTTAATTTTAAAATTTAAATTTATTTTTAAAATTTTGGCGAAATGTGGCAATACCATTTTTGAGGTCGGCCATTTGACCTCAAAAACTATCCAGGCAGGTTGGATTACTGTAGACACACAATAGAAAAAAAATTGACCTTATGATGAAAAATGCAGAGTCCAACATGTTATGTACATGTACAGTAGAAATAGATACATGTGTAAGTGTGCCTCTTCAATCCCTGTCAAGTACTCAAGTCTTGTCACTTGCAGTTTGTTCAATAATGCTATGCTGCCGTGTTGGCATTTACAATCGTACGGTTAACACGATTTGATGATACATTGTACGTTTTTATTATTTTATTTTTTTACATCTCATTCCATTTCCACATATAAGTTCCTCCTTCTGTCTGAATGTACATGTACACTGTATTTTGAAATTGATTTACTACACATTAATTAAAAACAAGAGTGAGATAAAAAAAAATTACAAAAACAAAATGCTTCGTCAGTTGTGTCAT